AGGCTGGCTGGCAAGGAAGCTGTCCAGGGATCCTCCTGTCCCTGCCTCCCCAGTGTACTATGGCTTTTCATATGGATACTAGGGAATCAAATTCAGGTCCCCTTGCTTGGGCTCCAAGTGCTTTTACCAACTCAACTATCTCCCTAGCCCATACTATTTGGTTTCCAAATACATTCCTCTCAGGTATCCCACTGCCTACAAGTAATACCAACAGGAAAGAGAAGCCAGGACCTGCTTTGATGCCCTATTAGCTTACCAGTCTCCACAGCAAGAACTTCTAGTATTTGGGTATAGGTCATAACAAGAGCTGAAAACTTTATAAAGGAGCTTAAGCACAGGTCTCAACATCCAAACCAGCTATGGAAGAGTTTTTAGCTACTTCCAGACCAAATATATTTACTTACAAGGAGAGTATTATTTAAACATGCTTTGTACACACTTCAGCCTATGAATAATTTAATACATGATTTTCTTTTTTCTTTCATGAACATATATATAAATAATATATAGTATATTTCAATTACCTAACATAACAGAAAATCTTCCTACATTTCCTGACTCTTCCCCCATAGTTCCAAACTTTGGGGATTTTGACTTGTATGTGTTAAAAAAAAATCTCTTTTATTATTTACTCTAATTTTAATCTCACTCCAAGAACATTTGAAGCATTCCCTGGGAATACTATGTAGATTCACGCATATCAATATTTAAATTATTTTAATTCCAGGGATTAAAGTGTAGATGTAAAGGGTAAGTTTAGCATATGTATGTGAATCTAAATAGAATCAAAACTGGTGTGGATGAGTTATGAGATCACCGAATCTAAAACTGAAATGTTTTCAGATTTTTAAAATAGTTTATGTTAGACTGTGCTGTGTGGTTACATGGTTTTTATACACTGAAAAAGATATTGCTGCTCTCAGTGCTTTGGGAATAATGAAATTGTACATTGGGCTCAGGATTCAGGAGAGATTGATGAACAGTTCAAAATCACAAATCCAATTTTTAAACTGTATGAATGATCACATTGTGTTACAGACCCTTAGATATCTGTTAATTCTCCTGAAAGAAATGAATCTCAAAGATAGGCGAAGTCTGTGTTCGTGCTTTCTGTACCACTGTGGAGTTCTACATCTCCTCCAAGCGTTGAATGTCCATGGAGGAGACAAATGGCTAAGCAGTGGGCTGGTGCAGGCACGTGAGAGTCTCTCTGTGCTGTGTCCTGTTCAGTGCGTTCTTTTTTCTTTCTTTCTTTCTTTCTTTCTTTCTTTCTTTCTTTCTTTCTTTCCTTCTTTCCTTCCTTCCTTCCTCTCTCTTTCTCTTTCTCTCTCTTTCTCTCCCTTCTCTTTCTCTCTCTTATTTGAGAAAGTGTGTCACTCTATAGCCCAGGCTGGCCTCAAACTTATGGCACTCTTCCTTCCGCACTCTCTACAAGTGTTGGCATTATAGGCATGAACTACAATAATGCTTACCTCTGCACATAATTTATATATTACATTGTACATGTGTGTGAATTATAGGATTTTTAATATCGCCTTTGAAAAATACAAACTCTTGGCAAGCATTATCTATATAGTAGGCTGAATAATAGCCCCCCAAAAGATGTACCTGTCCTAATTGCTAGCATTTGCGAATGCTGCCTCACATGGAGAAAGAATCTTTGCTGGTCTGTTGACTTTGGAGTAGGGGGATTATTGTAGATTATCTGGGTGGGCCCGGTGCTGTTGTTGGGATCCCAAATGTGGAATGGGGAGGCAGAAAAGGAAGAGAAAGAGAGACCTTACAAGGGCCCCACCTGCTCCACTAATTTTGCAGGTGGGAAAGGACTATAAACAAGGACTATAGATGGTGTCCAGATGCAGGAAAAAAAGCAAAACAAGAAAACTACCTCTTCCCCCAGCCTTCTGAAGGGACGTCACAGCTGCTGACACTGGCATTAGATGAACAAGACCTGTGTCCAGCTGTTGGAATTCTAAAATACGTCTGTGTTGTTTTTAAGCACTGCATTTGTGGTGATCTGTTATATACAGCAGCAGTGGGAAATCCGTACAGCCTCCAACACCTCTTTTCATCCCCTGCAGCTTCTCACGGTGTGTGTACAAAGAGAGACTCTGATACGCCTCCATCACTTCCCATTCTGTATCTGTGCTTGCTACCGTTTTCACGGTAAAGTAGTACAGCATTAATCCAGCTTTGATCAAGCCTTCAAAAATTGAAACCTAACATGGACTATCTCAAGAAAGAAGGGAGGAAGAAGAGGAGGAGGAAGAGGAAAAGGACGAGGAGGGGGAGGGTGGGGTGGGACACAGGTTCCATAAGTTAACCCTCAGAGGGGTGACATTGGTTTCTCTCCCAGCTCAGACAGGGGCCCAAACAGGTCCCCTGAGACTGTTGCTTTGCTTTCTCTCTGTGCGGGCTTCTATATGTCCACAATTTACAAGTCTTTAGTGGGAAAGCTACCCTGTTTACTTCAGGAAAGGATTCTGAAATTTCTTTCATTCATTCAAGGTTCTGCCCTAGAGAAATACCTTGTAGGGGACAGCTTATTTCTGTTTCCTGTGACACCAATATGAAGTAGCTAGCTCACTTGGAGCTCAAGGAGTTACTTCTAAGATGGCCTCACTCCTGGAAATTAGTGCTGGGTGCTGGCTAGAGGACTCTCCTCTTCTTCAGGTGACCTCCCCACATCTCCTGTCAGACTTCCCACAGTATGATACTCACGAGTTGCTCTGAATATAGTTCCCAAGCACTAAGATGGAAACTTCTAGGTCTTCCTAAAGTATAGCTCCAACTGACACTTGGAGGCCCTGACAGTTCTGTCTACTGAAGCAGAGCACAGAACCCAGTGCAACCTGAGGAGAGGCACCAACACATAACATGAATGAACAGCATGGTCCATGGCCATAGGCGTGGCACTCCACCTCAGTGGATGAAGGGGCTCTGTGCCTAATGACCCAAATCAGACCTGGTGAACATGGTAGGGCAGCCCACAAAGAAAGAGGGACCAAAAACAGATGTCAGCATTCTGTCTTTTCCTACAGCATTCGAAACTTCAATACACAAGGCTGTGTTTCACTCTAAGTCTATTTCCTCTATAACTTGCACGTTTTCTGGAACTGAGGAAGACATTGAGAATTTAGAATTAAAGTTAAGGAAACTTAAAACTTTTTTCCCATTCAACTTTTCTTAGACTAGAAATAAAAATTATGATAAAATATAGCATATTTTAAATATTCCTTTATAGTGCTATACAGAAATTAAACTGTATCTGATCTATGAAAAATAAACTATAATGTGACGAATCCAGTGGCAATTATTTGCCCTAACTTTTTTAATGTGACAATTCTTTGGATGTTATAGTGAAATATTTCACCCTTCGACTACATTTTTATGGTGTATATTTATTCTCAATAGTACAGATTCTGAATTGTCAAAATACTTGAGCTGATTTATGGTAATTAGCTTTAAGTTAGAACATTTGAAGTGCATTCAATTAATTTTATCTCTCTGGTGAAGTACAATAAGGTCTTCAGCATTATAAAGTTTTCTTTGGGATATTAGCTATGCATGTGTTTGAGGATGTGGACGACTCAAATTACTCTCATTTGAATTTTATCTTCAGAGAATGAGCATGCAATATTGAGGATTAGGCAGTATTTAGGAAATGTATGTATAAGGATTATTTGGGATAGAATCACCAAAGATCCTGGACTACTTATCACACACTTGTTGACTGATTTTACCTGCAGCAAATAAAGAAGCAATAACAACTGTATAAATTATTCAGAGACTAGCCACCCATATGGGTGTTTTTAAGGATCACTTCAGAGCACAGTTGGGCAGGATAGTCTCTTTATACTTATTTTTCCCAAGTCCATCTACAAAAGAGCTATAGATCCATATGGAATGGATTAACACTGATGCCTTTAAAATGAAATTAAATATTATAAAGCATTCAGGTAATGATGGGTGATCTTGCCCAGCTAAAACTCTCTTTGGTAGTTTATTTTAAATATTATTTTTGTCTTTTGGGGGGTGTTATATAGTGAATATGAGAGATTTATTTAAAACCATGGATTGCTTGAGAGTGATTTTTAGGACTTTGCCTTAAAATCTGCACATAGGCAAAATTCCCGATATTATTAGTTGGGATTTCCACTGTAAGAGGATTTCAGATGATTGCTGCAGTAGGGGCTTGTTCTGGGCTTGGAAGCATCATATTTCAGAAAAGCTACTCATGCAATTGCTCAAACACACAAGGAGTGGAGGAGACCAATTTAGACCAAGTGAAGGGGATTGCTTTCTCTTAAAATGGGCCCTTTACTGTAGTGAGATATTTTATCTATCCCAAAAGCAGATAGAAAAATAAGCATTCGTGTGGCTGGGTCCCCGTGTGGAAGGAAATCTTTAAAGCCGTTTGAGTCACAGTGTTGGAAGAGGCATATGATGTTTGCATAGATCCGAATACCTACTTACAAGCCCTGTGACTTTGAAACAGTCATAACTTTTTTCGCATTTTGGGGGCTTCCATTTATTATTCTCCTGAGTTTGTTCTGAAGATTACAAACTAAAAAGCATCATGGTATTTAAAATTTATACTCCTCCTAATAAAAACAAAACATATTGTTGAATAATTGATGTGTAAATAACATACTGAACAATTCAAGCACATTGGCTGTCTTTTTTTAAAAAAAAGTATGTTCATTCAAATTATATACAAAGTCCAAGGGTAAGCGTACCATCGCCATTACTTTTAAACTATTAATTTTACTGGTTTCAGTGGACATGAACCTTGGAGAGATGGCGGTCTCCATTTTTCCTGAATAGTTGGGGATTTGATTTTATTATTTACAACCCAGATGAGTCATGGCTGTTTAGAAAGAGAAACTGCCTCCTGGCACTGTTTGTAGAGATGACTGGATCCAGCTGGCCACTGTGTGGGTTCATGGTACTGGTTGGATATTTGTGTTCATGTTTGCTTCCCTGTGTTTCTCTTACAGCTATCGGCAGGACCCTCATCCCCCGTTATTTTAGCACTGTGTTTGAAGGAGGGGTGACTGACCTGTACTACATCCTCAAACACTCAAAGGAGTCCTACCACAACTCCTCCATCACGGTGGACTGTGACCAGTGTGCCATGGTCACACAGCATGGGAAGCCTATGTTTACCAAGGTAAGGACAGCTACACACATAAGAGGAAGAGTTCAGCTGCCTCTTAAACTGTGGCAGCTAAACCAGAGTGTTCTGTGCTCCTGCAAAGATGTCTTCTCAAGCTAAAAGAGAATCACTCAGTATCTATACTTTGTTATTTTGAAAACACTGAGCAGTCTTTCACCAAGTACACCCCAAATGTTATCTGGAAGACAGACCAAAACAGAGTGAAAGGAAGGACTTAGGCAACCCAGAGTTCAAAGGCTGTTTCCCCACATTCTCCAGATGAGGCAAGCAGCTCAGCAAAAGAATGCAGCTGAACCATGGAAGTTGCTGTTAAAGACAGAAGGAGGCCAAGGGGAGGGGAGGGCCCAGGCAACACCGAAGATACAGAGATTCAATTTAATCTTCTCTATGTTTTATCCCGGTAATCTTTGCCATGTGTGAAATACTCCCCCTCATGAGGCCACCAGGGAGCATAACGGATGCTCTCTTTATGTCCTCCTCCACATGGGACAATGAGTAAGAACTAAATACTTAAGTCATAGAATCTAACAAATGGAATTTTATTTTATTTTTGATGGTGCTGATGATTGAACTGAGGACCTTGCACATGCTCTGCCATTGAGCTAACCCTCTGCTACACAGAAACTTACTTTAACACTTGCTCATCAATATGAACTAAAGCTCCATGTGAAACTATTTTGTGATATTAATGATAACAGTCATCTCTTTTAGAACAAAACACAGATGACAGCCTTTTATAGTTAATATTGGATTGCCAGGGTTAATTACCCAAAACCAAATTATAAAACTGAAGAGGTATTACTTGTGCAATTTTGCTTCAAGAATAAAAATTAAGTGTTTCACATTGGTGTCATCCATTATGCTGGTACATTTCAGTGTTTCTCAGTTCCCATGTTGGCGTAGGAGGCCAGAGAGGCACAGGGAGTGGTTCTAAAATGCCGAAACAGACCGCCAACTGCCACTGACTCTGTGGTACTTTGATTTGGACAATAAACCTTTTTAATGTGGGGAGGGCTAGAATTTTTATCTTCCTAACAATTGAGCAGAATAGAAAGGTATTCAGAATATGGCTTCGCAAAAATGCCAAAGTCTATGCTAGTAAGAGAGTTTTACTTATGGAAAGAAATGGCCACCCAGAAGGAAGGTTTCATCTGTCTATGACCTTCAATTGGAAGATGGAGAACATTTTCAGAACCTTGCAGATTAGATGGATACACATCATCATTCCCTTCTATGCTTACAAATTGAGTAGTGCAGAAAAGCGCTCTCTCACTCTCTCTCTCACTCTCTCCCCTCCCTCCCTCTCTCTCTGTCTCTCCCCTCCCTCCCTCTCTCTCACTTACTCACTAAAGGCTACTTTTAAGTGATTAGAGTAAAACATGTCACCTTCCTATGCTTTAAGAGAAACAAAATATAGTTAAATAAAACTTTGTCATAATGAAAAGCTACATGTAATGTCTACAACCATTACAAAATTTGTTTGGAGGGAGTTGAAACAGGGTCTTACTATGTAACTCCAACAGGCCTGAAACACTCTGTGTAGACCATCCCAAGCTGGCCTCAATCTCACAGCAGTCCTCTGCCTCTGCCTCCAAAGTGCTGGGATTAAAGTCGAGTGCTGCCATGCCCAGACCAACCACTAACAATTTAGAAATGCATTTTGTAGCCTTTTTCTATATTTAGTCCAGTTCTTCCTTAGGTCAGAACTCTTTCATGCATATGCACAGGTAGTTGCTCTGAGGGTGTGGCATTCAACATTCCAGACTTGGTTTAGAACACACACAACCTGATCTTCTGAGGGCTCCACAAAGGGCTGCTTTCATTCAGATCAAGGAATGAAGTTTTCCTGCTGCATTCTCTCTTTTCTGGAATGCTCTCCCACACATCCAGGGTTTGTTCAGGCATCCAAGGAAATCACTAGAAAGACCTGAACACAGATCCCTTGGCTCTAAGCATCAATTATTTGGACCACCCATCTCACACTGCTCCAGGGCCGGCAGTGCTATTTGCCCATTCCCATAATGAGTATTTCAAAACTTTGATGAAAAATATCTCTTTCTAGGACATGTAGTTTCATTATAGGGACCCAGTCCAGATGCTAATTATGCACATTGATTTTTTGGAAATTTGATAGAATTCTTTCCCCCCCCCCCCCCGCCCCTCCCCCTCCCTCCCTCTCTCCCCTCTCTCTGATGATTACTATACTACTCAGAGAATCTTCCCAATTTTTTCTTATGTTCTTATATTAATTAAAACTAGCTCAGCTTTGCGTAATAAAGTGCTATAGCTATCTATTTTGTGCAATGAGTTCCTGACTTCCTGGTACACAAAGAAAAAGAACCATGAACCAATGCCTTTTTGTTTCAATTCTTTTCTGCTCTTAGTTCCTGGCATTATTTAGCACTTACATGTCAGTAGCTCACATTGCTCTGATTTAGACCGACCACTATTTTTCTCCAAATAGCATTTGACCCAGTGATTCTGAGTTGCTTTTATGAAAATTTGGTCAACTAGTAAATCAGAAATCAGCCACGGTCCTAATCAACAGAGATATTAAATATTCCTCAGGGGTACAGTGAGCATTTTGTAATTTCCTGATACTAGCAACATTATAGATTAAGGATAAATATGTAATTAGAATTTTAAAACGCACGTAATAAAGCCTTTCTTTTATGTTTTCAATTTTGAATCAAATAGAAAACAAGGCTTAATCATCAGAAGACTATGCCCCAAGCTTTTCAGTCAGAGACCCTGGAGTTATACTCAAGGATGTGAACAGGGGAAGGTGCTATGACGCACAGCGCACTGCATTCTGGGGTTTTTCAAAGTGAAACAATAATTACAGCCACTGCTGGATACTTTCATCACTTCTGCAAACATAGCTTTGTGGGATTTTTTATTTATTACAAAATTACTTATTAGTTAAAGGAAAGTATCCTGGAAGAACAGGAACCAGGTTTCCTCTAAGGGAGTGCTGGTGACTAGCATTTTTGACAGTTCCCCATTTTGACCTTAGCCTGTGTATCATGCTATAGCCTCTGGAATTTATCCTCCTCTGATTCTTAGCAAATTATAACGTTAAGGACACCCCTCCCCCGTTATTTTAACCCACATTTACATATGCAATATCTCTAGGTAAAATACAAAGAGTTTTTTGCAAGATTCATTCTAAAGTCTCTATTTCACTTAGTTTTAAGTTTTCTATCTTTACACTTGAACAGCCTATAATTTTTCAAATTTTTAAAAATGAAAAAAAAAATCAAAAAGCACACTTTGTTTCTTAAAGGCTCTTCGAGACAACAGCAGAGTCATGTTACTTCACAATTAGAGACAGAGAAGGGTTAAAACGCTCCCGGGTACTTTGAGAAATGTTCCTTTTTAGTTTCCTTGTTCCTGGCCTAGGCTCAAGCTAGCACGTGACCGGCTGAACGCCTGCCAGCCTCTTTCTTGTTGATCCTCCAGAGACCATCTGTGCTGGGGGCATTGATTAGAGTGTGTCTGCTGGGATTACATCTTTTCTGTTGCCATGCCAACTAATCAGCTGATTTTGGTTACCACAGAAACAAAATGTCAGAGCTCACAGTACGGTAACATGAATTCAGCACAACAGAAATGTTTTCTTAATTGGGGACCCTTTTGATTTTTGGATTCCAACAGAAAGGCAGGTTAAAAAAAATGACCAACTTTAGATAAAAGCTGTATTAATTGTATTAATAAAAATGCACAGAATTTTTTGAAGAAAGAAAGCATTAATTTCTCTTTATTAGCTGTGTTCTTTTTGCACATTTTCAAACAAAGGATACATACATTTTTTCATATGTGCCTCTATTCTGGTTCCTGATTGTTGCATATAAAACAAATCACAAAGCCTTAGGTTGGGTTTCATTTCTACCACAGGTGCAGAGCATTTACCTGGGTCCTGGGACAGAGCTGTGGGTGCGATGTGGGGAAAATGAGCGATGACCAAAATTCTCCTCCATCTTTCAACATTCACGAAAGTCTCTTGATTATCCTAAAAAGAAAAACAAAGTCTTATGTAGTCAACTTGGATTCAGTCAGCTTGGATGCTGTTGTAAGGATTCCCATTTTGCACATGGTATGCCCTGGATAAAGCTGACTCCTTTGACTACAAAAGGAGCCTAAGACATGTGACAGTTTTCCATTTTATAGTCCCATGACAGCCTGTCTGCAAGAGAGAAAGCTCTGCAACTGGTTTGCTATGTCACAGTGAACAAAGGACAGACCTGAACTTGACCCCACAGGCGCTACATTTGAACAGAGTCCATCAGGACTTCTTACCTCTTTGGGAATTTCTGTTCCCACAGAAGCAAACCAGAGCCTGTACCTGCCCTGAGCTGGCAGTTCATAGACACAAAACAAATAGATTTGATAATAAAAAGCCTGACATTTAACTGGTCTAATATTTGTTTAAATATCCAATAATTCTTTCTCTTTAAAAAAAAAGATTATAGCCTCCAAATATGTCTTTTCGCATATTGTCAAGACATTTCACTGTTGATGGCTGGCTATCACTGTCTCCCTCCTGTAAAAGTTGTCACTGCAAGTGACTTCTACCAGGCTAACATTGGGGGGAGGAGTGGCCTAGTCTGCATGCTACTGTTCTGAAACCTTCTTTGAGTTCCTCTCCATTTGTGCTTATTCAGCTCTCATGGTAGCATGCCAGAAAACAGGCTCAGAAGACAACTCCACTCAGAGTTTTGGGGCAGGACGCACACATGCCTGAACTTACCCACAGATTCTGCTAATAGGATCTGAGGTAGAGGTCTTCATGCAGATCATCAGTAATCACCTAACCATGTCCCTCAGATCTTTGCTAAAATGAAGACGGCAGATGCTCACTAGCATCTTTATAGAGCAGAACCCTATTAACTGTCAATAGCAGATCTCCAGGACTAGTTTTAGGACACTATTTCTTCTCACCAGAGGATATGGAAAGTGCCTAACCACTGCCAAGAACAGAGGTAGATCTTTATAAATGGTGGTATTTTGTATTATTCCCCCAAAAGAAAATGATTATCAGTATTTCATAAAACCTTGATGTAAAATTTTAATTGCTGTTTTCTTGGGCTATAGTTTTAGAAATTACTTGATTTTTAAATATTCTTTTAAAAGATTCCAAATTTTCCATATTTGTTTTACACTAGGAATATTTCTCTCAGAAAGTTCGATCAGAAGTTCAATATATTAAACAGATACAATTCAAACTGTTTTGGTGGAGAAAATGAATGGGTTAGGAGCCCAAGCCCCAGAATTTCCCAGAAGAACTGTTGACATACCCCAAGGATACCGTACATCTCAGCAAGCCCACTATGACAACCACTGTCAAAGTTCTCAGTTCTCTGTGGTTGTATTTGTTTTATCTGGACAACTGTGGCTTACCCTCCTTCTGCTCATATCAGGCATGATAGCAGGCAATCCACATTCATAACTCCCTGTGATGTGTTTTCTCAACAACTCTTCATAAGGATGTTGTTTTCTATTGCTATGATAAAACACTCTGACCACATTGGGGGAGGAAAAGGTTTATTTGGCTTCCGCATCTAGACCACAGTTCATCACTGAAGGAAGGCCAGGGCAGGAACCAGGAAGCAGAAGCTGAAGCAAGAAATGGAGAACACTACTTACTGGCTTGCTCTCCTGGTCTGTACTCAGCCTGCTTTCTAATACAATCCAGGCCCACTTCCCCAGGGGTGGCACCACCCACAGTGGGGTGGGTCCTCCTATATCACTCAACAATCAGGAAGATGCCTCACAGACGTGCCCACAGTTCAATTTGATAGAGGAAGTCCCCCAGTTAAGGTCCCACTTCCCAGGTGTGTCAAGTTGACAACTGACAGCTATCTAGCACAGACACTGTTATCCTAGTTCTACTGCTAAGTAAACTGGATGTGTGTGTGTTGAGGGCAGTTTTCCCCAGGATATGTAAAATTTAGAATTCAAATCCAGTGTCAATATCAGTCTGATGTCAAAGCCCCCGTCCACTCTCCTACTGCTTCCCCAAAGCAAATATGGGCTGATGAATGAGTTGTAGCTGTCATCATATCCTCTAGTGCGGCTTCCTGTCTCATAGTCAAAATAGGACAATGGTGTGTAATTGCCTGGTATTTTCTTCCTCTTCAAGGTCATTAATAGTGGTATGTAAAATAGACACTGTGTGCTGAGGATATGACTATCAAAGCAAGATAAAAGTTCCTACTTTGTCACTGATCACTCCATAAGGGAAGAGAAACACTGACACACTATTATGTTTTATTGATCACACATAGTTTTAGGGAGATGAAAGGCAAGCCCTTTATGTAACCAGAACTTGTCATTGATGATGTGATGAGTCAGGGTATACTTCTTACACAACAGTCTGTTTTCTGTGTGTCTGTGACAGATACTGCTGTGCTGGGTTAAGCATTGCCCTCTAGAGTTCCCCTTTGGAAATTACGATATAGTTGGGCAAATTCCCAATAATTCATGAATTAACTTAGCATGAATTAACTTAGGGGAAATATTCTCCCAAATTAAGACAACCAAGATGAGAATAAGAGTGAAAGCCCACATAGTAGGTGGATAACAGAAACAGAGAAGGAGAAAGAACCATACTGTGTACCGGTTGGTTTTAGGCTGGTGTTCCCATAAGACGGCTTTGGGCCTCATGTTTTCAGATGGAGAAACTGAGGCACATAAAGTTTCAGTGATACCAATGATTGGCCCCTCCTGTCTAGTAAGCAGCTGGGCCATCGTTTGAATCTCCTGGCTCTAGACCTGACATTTGCCCTTGTGTGCTAAGGGAACGCTGCCCAAGGACAGAAAAGGACACTACATTGAATAGTTGATGTGAGTCACACACTGTGACTTTTACAAACTGCGTCTTAAATGAACAATGTTGTCTGTCACTCCTAGGTGTGCACAGAAGGCAGGCTGATCTTGGAGTTCACCTTTGATGATCTCATGCGAATAAAAACATGGCACTTTACCATTAGACAATACAGAGAGTTAGTCCCGAGAAGCATTCTAGCCATGCACGTAAGTACTTTGATTTATAGTTTATCTTTTATCCTTTTATTCCCACTGCATCCTACTCAGTGAGGAAACCTAGTTCCATCTGAAAGAAGTCCAGAGACCGTCACACTTGAGTCTTTCTCTCAACCATCAGAATCCACAAGCTCTTTTTGCCTCCTTTGTTCCCAAGCGGTATACAGTTTGACTATTTTTATACATTCCTGAGGTTACCTCAATGCATGGTTTTGTACTTTTCTTAAGTTGCATTAACTCAGTATCAAGTAGTGCTCTACCTGGGTGAGTAGAACTGCTACAGGTAACTGTGGAATGAACTAAAACAGGAAGTGAGGGTTTCAGTTTGACTAGAACCATCTAAGAAGTGAGGGTCTGTACCTGTTGGCCCTTCTGATCTAGGACACTGGGCTTCAATGGGTTTCATTTGGCCGTAAGTTGCATCAACTCTGTTGTGCACCAAAGAGGTAAAGAGTGGATTTGTTGCCTCTCGAGACCCCTATTTTAAAGTTCATTGGGAACTACTCAGGCATAGTCCCTCCAGAAGGATTCAAAAGCACTGACTTACATAGTCTTTCCTCTATAATGTTTGATGCAACAGCTTCTATAAGACAATGTTGTAGCAAAATCAGACTTCATGACCCTGAAAAATGAAAAGGGAGTAAAATAATGGTAAGTGCCATTTACAGAATTCACTATATTAAAACATTAGCTGAAAATTTACTCTGCACAGTCATTCAGTGAGTTGACTTACTATTGTTCCTATTTCAGAAGTGAGAAAAGTGGGGCTCAGAGAAGGGTAATTCATGACCCAATGTTTTTCAGTCCAAACATAGCAAAGCCAAGGTTCTGACACATTTGGTCCTGAATCTAAAAACAGGCTGAGAAGCCAGCTGTCCCCAAGCCTAATGATTTCTTGCTGTCTCTCCAGACCTTTAAACTTATCCTTCTTTTTCCAACTAGTTAATCCCATCTGTGCCCATTTCAGAGCCCCTGGGCCTTCTGCTACACACCCCGTTTCCCACGTCACCACTTTTGACTCACCATACTCAAAGCCTTTCAAAGCTTCCAAAGTCTATTTTCTACCCTCCAGTCTTCTGGAAGAAGTCTGCAGTAACCCCCTTAATTTTTTCAAATTAAACTGAGCAGCAGCAGAGGGATGTAAGTGAGAGCTTAGGGCCTGGTTGAGAGCACATGGAATTGCATTCTTGTTCACAAGTGGCCTTGAACAACTGACATGACGTCTGTGGTCTTTCAGTCCCTTGGTTGCACAGTGGTGTGGTAATGAAGCTTGCCTAGGAGAACCCGCCTGAGAATTGAGTCAATGACTATAAAGCACTTAGGATGATGCTTGGATCATAGTAGTCCTTTGTAGGTATTGGTAATCAGTTCTCAGCAGCAATAGCAATATTCCTCCACCATTGCTTAGTGCCCCATCTTTTGATTACAATGCAGGCTGCTTGTGACTGGTCACGGCATCATGATGTAATGTCTTTGTAGAACCAACTCTTCTTACAATGTCCATAAAGACCCCCTTTCAGAAATTGATGTGAAATGACATTCTCTGACTCTCCTCTCCTACATTTTGTTTTTAATCTATATATACAAATCCAAAGGATAATATCATTGAGTGAAAAACACAGAAAAAAATAAGGTTCTGCTAATATCCCCTAGGTAATCTCATTAGTGCTGGCAGGGATATTTAAGTCTCCCTGTGCAGTGCCACTTGGTTTATACCAGCTAAGAAAGAAGACAGAAAGTCAGCCAAAGATTCACTTTTAAAATGCAACATAGAAAAAAATCTTCTTTCTTTCTGTCCTTTATTTTTGGTCTTGCCAAACACAATTTTTGCTTTGGGATGGTCCATGATATTTTGTATCCCATGTTAAAAGATGCCAGACATTTTGGAAAATATGATACTCACCCTTCTAGTCCTATAGGATGAAAAATACTGAGGACATTGACTTCTAACCTCAGTTTAATGGAGAAGAAAGTCAAAAATTCTCTTGGTGTAGTACATGCCTCTAATCCCAGCACTTGGGAGGCAGAGGCCGGTGGATCTGTGAGTTCAAGAACAGCATGGTTTACATAGTGAGTTCCAGGCCAGCTGGGGTTACAGGGAGACCCTGTATCCAAAAGACAAAAAAAAAAAAAAAAAAAAAAAAAAAAAAGAAGCCTTTCTTGATATAGTATATTATCGTTTGGTATATTTTATGTTATATTACTACATATCATATATTTTTATGGAAGCTGCAAACATGTCAGATATCATCATCAATCCCGGCAAAAACACAGCTGTCACCGTAGGGAACGGGTATGGCTTTGCCAAGTCCAGAGGTACCTCCTTCTCTGGTTCTGACCCTGGCCTCCTGGCAGGGTTCCATGACTTTCGTCTGAAGACACAGGGCCAGGGTTTCTCATGGAGAAATGAACAGCACTTTCCCCTGACCAAATGCACTTCTCAGGCAGTCTTACACAATTGATCCAAAAATGTCCTTGAGTACTAGTCGTAGGTGTCTTCAAAATATAAATTACATTGTCTCCAGCAATCTGTTCCTCCTAGAAAAAAATCGACATCAAGATTGCATTTCTAAGCAGAGGTGGCACTGCCTAGCCTTTTCATGAGGCCATCTCATAGGAGTGAAATATGTAATGTTTTTGTCCCTGTTTAGGCACAAGATCCTCAGGTCCTGGATCAGCTGTCCAAAAATATCACCAGGATGGGTCTAACAAACTTCACCCTCAACTACCTCAGGGTAAGACTGATTAAATGATTCTATTCACTGATTGATTTTGAAAAAAATACTTCAAAGGTTTATTTTCTTTTTTTTTTAATGCATCCTGAACCAGTGTTAAAAATGAGGTATAAACCAGGATAAGTTGCCTGAAATGCAAGCTACGTGGAAAGCTGAGGTAGGAAGATTGCAAGTTCCAGACCTGCCTGGGCTACAAAAAGAGTTCTAGGCTGGCCTCGGGAATTAATGAGAGATTCTCTTTTTAAAAAATAAGGCAAAAAGAGGGTTAGGAATGTAACTCAGTGATGTAGCTCAGTGCTAGAGTGCTTGCCTAGCATGTCGGAGTTCCTGGATTCAATTCCCAATATCAACAAGCAATAAATAAGCAAACAAACAAGGCAGCCCAGGTATATGTTACATAGCTATAGGGACTGTGCCTCTGTGTGTGTGTGTGTGTGTGTGTGTGTGTGTGTGTGTGAAATCAAAGATAGGGTCTAATTAGCAAAGCATCAAACCTGGACTCAGGGCTAGAGTCTTCTGGAGAAATCAACTCAGTGCTGTAATGCAGACATTTCTAAGCCTCACAGACAGTCTGAGCAACACAGAACAGCTGCTCCGGCTTGGATGAAAATTGTTTTCATTTTTTAAAATTATGTATTTTAGATAGAGTTTCTTTTCCATTTAATACTAAGAGCCCCCATGTTTGTCCTAAAAGAGTGCACCAATTTTTTACGATCGGATTTCAACAGTGGAATTACAGTTAGAGTATCTGGTTTCATTTACAAAACCAGCTTTGTGCTCTAGAATCCATGTGAAAGCAGCAGCCACAGTCCATAGGCCCTTGCCCCTGATATATTATCTCCTTCCCGTACAGATTGGCCTCACCAGGGTCTCCACCCCATCACAGCCCCGATGCCATCGCTCTTTATCCTCAGTGTGCTCTGGGTTGCGGGTTTTGTTTTATAGTCATTAGCCCCTCTGTACAAGCATTGCATCTACTGAAATGCTGAAATGCTGCAATTCTTTGGCCATGCTTACTCATCTGTGAATTAATAATGGTGGAAACAGTCTTCCAATTCACTCACACATTTCTGGACACTAAAAATTCAGATAAAAAAGTCAATTCTCTGCCACCAAGAAATTCACTCCTAGGAGGTTAGACTCATAGAATAAGTGGCAGTATAGTAAATACCAGGATGGAAGTTTCCGGAAAGAATTATGAGAACACCAAAAGAAAGATTTCTCAGAGGACTCACTCGGGGAAGTCTTCATTGGAAGGCGATTCAGAAATGGAGTGAGCAGGATGAGTGAAGGAAAACCAGTTGAACGGTCATCCAATGTGTTTGTGATAAAATCTCTACTGTATGAGGAGCCAGACCTTTGTTTCAAGCCTGAGAAGGTCATCTTAGGAGGGGTTAGAGTCAATGAACATCAGTAGTTATTCCCAGTATCTGAAAAATAGGTCACAAGAAATGTTGGCAGGTCTAGGGCCTTCCATATCACAATTATGAAAAAATGATGTGTCAAGGTATGAATAGAGATTCACAATCCCAAACACCTGAAATTTTTAAAATTTGTTTTTATTGAATTTTTGTGTATTTTATACAGAATATCTCAAAGAATCTTAATCATCTTTATACCCCCGTCCCCACCAGCATGCTCCCATAGACACCCCGCCCCCGAAGCCATATACTCCGTCATCCATATTAAGGCCAAATGTGTCAGGTCAGTGTCCCCAGATGTTCCCCTATGCAAGTTCATCCACTGAGGTCTAGTCAGCCTATCTAGAGTCTCTTGTTTTAGGAAGATCAGCTCATCCTCACCCAGCAGTAATCAACTGCCAATGTTTCGTCAGCTAAGATTGGGGTCTGCTGTTCATTTCCCCAGTTCTATTCTGGGTTTTTGTCTGCCTGAGTTTGCATGGGATTTGTTGTGTGCTGACATCATTGCCATAGAATCATATGAGCAGGGTCCCAGGAGCTTGTAGGACTCTGTTTCCATATTGTCGTGTACCTCCTCCCTGGCTCTTACAGTCTTTCTGTCCTCTTCTTCAATGATCCCTAAGCCCTTGGTGCATGAAGTTTAGTATAGGAGTCCTATCCATGGACCAGCAATCTACAGACTCTTAGTCTCTATACTTTGGCCATTTGTAACCTTTTGTGCTCCTGTCCCTCTGCTGCATGAGGGATCTTCATTAATGAGAATTGAGAGATCCATTAGTGTCTTCTTCATGACCCTTGTTCTATGTTCTGTGTGCCTAGGATGTAGAGGTTGCATCGTAGATGTGTCACTTAGGCCTGGGCAATTCATAGACAATGTTTGTGTGTGACCAGTTGTGGTACTTGGTAATAGTCTCCAACTGGTGCAAAATAAGCTTCTTTGATGAGTGGTGACTGGGATACTTGTTTGTAAATATAAGGATACATAATTTGCACATAGCAAGAAATTACATTTGTCTGTGGATGTGATGGTCTTGGGGTTGTCTCTAAGATCTATCACTTCTCCAAACAGCTACCTAATTGGACTAAAATCTCACTCAATGGGAGGAAACTCAAGTATGGTACTGTAAACATAACCAAACACCTGAAATTTTAATATAGTGTGTCTTCTAAGTCACAGAGTTAAACAGCGAGGAAAGCGAGCAGTGACAGTCCACTGGCTTTGTCAAAACGAGTTGTCTTTTTCCCTGTGGTTCTGACTTTTCAGGTGCTCTTCCTTGGTGTTCCTGGAGTTCTTGACTGCTTGCTCAATTCTGGTGGGTCCCATGTATGATTCATGGCTCCTCTTATTCAGCTCCTAGCCCCTGTTCTAAATAAATGTACTAAAGCCCCACTTAAAAACTCAGAATTTCCAGTCACAAATTTTTATTCTGTATCATTCCTATTTGTTCTTAATATGTATCATTTTTTACTCTAAATGCCATTTTTTTCCATTTCCTTATTTTGGAAATATTGTCTTTCAAGTCTGAAGTATTTTTTTTAATGAGTAATTATTTTGTCTATTTCCTTTGGCCTAATTTTCTTAATTTCTAGGATAGAGACTTTTTAAAATATTTTATTTATTATTCTTATTTTATGTGTATGCTTGTATTGCGTGCATGTAGGTAAGTGCACCCATGTCATGCATTGCCCATGGAGGTCAGAAGAAGCTGTCGGATCTCCTGGAACTGGAGTCATGGACAGTTGTTAGCTACCATGTGTGTGCTGGGATTTGAACCCAGGTCTTCTGCAAGAACAGTCAGTGTTCTTAACTGCTGAGCCATCTCTCCAGCCCCAACACACTTTTGTTTAGTGCTGAAGCCATCTTTAGTTACAGCTGTCTTGACTGCCCTCCCTCTAAATCCCTTCTCTGCACCTTGCTGCTTACAGTGCTTCCTGATAGTAGACAGCTAGAGTTTACCGATTCCTACTTGTCTGTATGGTCTTGATGAAGCTGTTGAAATTTCCTGAATCCTACTTTGCTCATATGAGAATTAGGAATGATAAGTCTCACAAGGGTTCCATGAAGACTAGATGACCTGTACTTTGTGCAAAGCTGGTGTTCAGAAGGAACATAAGTACCAGTAACCTTTGGGCTCTCGAGGCAGCTGATCAAGGTTCAGCTTCATTGCTGCTGTTTATTTCTATATAATGTTGATTGAGCACCTTAATTTCTCAGAGTCCTGTGCTTTGCCTGTGTGAATGGTTAAAGATTATTATGAACCCCAACAACTGCATCATAGGTGAAGGTTACATTGATAATGCATGTGGAGAAACTCTAACTTATGAACGACTCTAAGAAATCAAGTAAGTTCATTGCATTTGTTCTCTTTATATCGGTTATGGCCTTGAATTCTTTCCTGAAGAAGCCACATGAAAGATCAGAAAACATGAGAAGTGATTGGTGAATGATGTAGGGTAAAGGAGGGAGCTTGGGGCATGTGCGCTATATTGGACTCCCTCCTGTTAGTTAGGTTACTGTGTCTCTTAGTCTCCAGGTGGTGACATTGTTTTTAGAAGGTTGTGGAATCTTTCGGAGGTGGAAGTGAGTCACTGGGAAAGGGCCTTGAGGTTTGTCAACCTGGCCCTACTTCTTATCTGTGCTGGTTCCTAACTTCAGGTGTAATGGTAACCAGGCTCCTGTACTCCACCTACCATACCCTCCCCTCCATAATGGACTGTACTCCTTTAAGCTGTAAACCAAAGTAAACCCTTCTTTAAACTGCTTCTTGTAAGGTATTTCTGACAACAATGAGAAAAGCTATCACACCCTCCCATCACAGCTATAATCATTATTTTTTGAGATTTTTCAATGCTATCTCCAGGCTTTATGCTTTTGTTATTTTTAAATTAGCCTAACTCTTCAAATGAGCAGTATCAAGTGGGCATGAAAACATTTGAGTTCCAGAGTCTTGTTTTTTGTTAAGGTTTGTTTAGTTTTGTTTTGATCCTGTACCTTTAATTTCCCATGTGAGTGAAGAATTTTATTGTTATTATAGTCATGCCTTAAAGAACATTGGTCCCTGCAAGTCCCCTCCACTGATGGCAGAAAGAATGCAGTCCAGTGTCTAGAAGAACTGGGCAATTAACTTTGGAAAATGATCCCCAACAGAAGGACATGAAGTGGCCTCCAGGAGATTGAGTGCGGCTGGAGTTAGCATTGGGAATCCTGCCAAGGTTTTTTGCTTGTTTGTGTCTTGTTTTCTGTAAGACTTTGACTCCTGGCCAAATATTTCTCTTGGTCTTATTACTGGAGGGGGGACTGCAGTCTAATCCCCTTTCTACCTAAATGCTAGCCAAGGGTTAGCAAATTCACATAGTGAGCGGCGACTAGTCAAAAACTAAAAGACCATGTCATAAGGAGGATGGCAAGCACTGGCATAGCATGCATGTATTGATCTGATACAGAGACCAGCCTCTGAGGGACTCTTCAGGGTAACCAGGATCATCTTTCCAGTCGTTATCGAGGAATTTATGCAGGCTCCTAACAAACAGTGAAATAGATAAGGTGGTTCCCATCTACAGGTACGCTCCACCAGTGCC